GCGCTTTTTTCATGAGGTGCTATAGGCGTACGCCTCATGCACATTTTATATAAAAAGACAGAAAAAAAAAGAGAAAAAAAGGAAATGGAAGGAAATGAAAAGAAAGGGAAGGGAAAGAAAAAGAAAGAGAAGAAAAAAAAAGAGAAAAGGAAAGAAAAGGAAAGGGAAGGGAAGGAAAGTGGTTTGCCCCCTGCCCCAATCCGCTTCGACAAGACCCCCCTTTCAACTAATGTTATGCATCTTTGTTCTTCTTAATATAAAAGATTTTTTATTAAAAATAAAGAAAATATGAAATCCCCCTTCCTCTTCATCCTCCTCCTAACCCCCCTCTTCTTAAGGAAGCTTTGTGTTTGGGAGGCTTACGCCTCTTATGTTTTGAACTACGCCTCACGCCTCTAGGTAGTGGAACGTCTCGTGTCACGCCTCCACGTTTTGAAACATTGAATCGAACTATTACTTTTCACCTCATTCAATTCTCTCTATTTAAATCTTATACTTTTTTGATAAATGAACAAAAAAGATACACCAAGAAGATTAAATATTACAAAAAGAAGAATATAGCCAATCAAGTAAGTTTATAAATGATACTTAAAACTTCACAATTCGATTCGATTATCACATATTTGGATGAAGTGTTTATGTAATCAGATCAATCCGTAACTAATTAATAATAAAAATAAATAAAATTTATAGAAAAATTAATACATTATTACTAGCATTATCATTATCTAATATGGAAGTTTTTTTACTAAAATTACCCTTTATTTCTTTATTTGAGAAATGGTATAAAATTCATTTTATTATAGCTTTAATATCAACTTTAATGACTACTAAAGTGCCGATATTTTTCAATTTCGTCCATCTTTAATTGTAAGGGTTAAAACTGTAACTTCAATTATTAATTTCCACATCTTTTAATCCCCTCTCATTAAGTCATATACTTAAGGTATTAACTCTCGTTTTCTCTTATTAAATCCTATATTTAAGTTGTTTTTCACTAATAAATGCTACTAATTAGATCTATGTCAATATTTTTAACAATATAAACCCATATATTTTAAAACTGACTAAAAAAAACCATTCTCTATCCAAGTGGTGGCTAAGCAATTCAACAATCTCAATTAAATTGATAAACCTATGAAGTCATAGTTAGATAACATAGTTTTTAAAATAGAAATAAATATAAAAAATTACAAAAAATATAGAAAAATTAGAAACATTTATGATATTTTTATTAATCAAATTAAAAAATAATTATAATAAACAATAATTATTTTTATTGATAATGAAAATGAAATACATAATTTAGAATTGACCAAAAATGAAATCATTTTACTATTTGGCAAAGATCAATAGTTCAACTTTTGGGTCAAATGCATTAACATTTAATGTCATAAATAAATAATAAAATTAATAAAATAAAAAATAAAAAATACATAAATTTTGAAAAAAATCAGGTACATGTATAATATCATGTAATTATCATATTAAACAAAAAGTAAGTGTGACATATCATAACTATTTTTACACAGAAATACAAAAAACATTATAGGAAAAATTGAACTCATCTATAATTCTATATTTACACTATTATTAAAAATATGAATAAGATTGTGGAACTTTCTTTTGACTAAAATACTCAATTTTGAATTTAGTCCTTATTTAATTGTGATGTTCAAATTGTAAACTAAACTACTACTTTTTTACCTCATTCAATTCCCTCTATTTAAATCTTATATTTCTTTGATAAATGAACAAAAAAAAGTACAACAAAAAGATAAACATTACAAAAAGAAGAATCTAGCCAAGCAAGTAGGTGTTTATGTAATCAAATTTGGATTTTGCAATTTGCATCTAATTAATATCTAGAATTGCCACATGCAAAGTAGGTGCATGCTTACTATTTACTATTAAAAGTATAAATAATGTTAAAATTTTCTTGATTAAAATACCCTTATGACCATATCTATAAACTAGGTCTTTCTCTAATTCTAAGGGTATTTGAACTACTACTTTTCACCTCATTGGATTTCCTCTCATTAAATCTCATTTTCCTAAATTTTCAACATATGTTCAATTGAAGAAAAAAACATGAAAGAAATTGTAGGGGAAAAAAAAGAAAAACACCCTAAACTGTGAAATTAATAATATTTTTCTCAAGAAATTGCTCATTTTCCTTCATCTTACATGCCACTAAAGAAAAAATATTTAATGTGTTTGAGTATGCTGATAAACCAAAGAGAGAAGATATACATGAAGTACATCCAAGTTGATTTATTTCTAATTAAAATATTCAAATCTCGATAAAATAGAGAATTAACTTTAATTTCAAATTGGTAGCTATTTTAGGATACTAATTTGACGATTAAATTTCTTTTTTTTTTCTTAGAAACAAAGGGAACATGAGTTAAGGTAGAGCGAATATTTTCAACTCGTTGATCTGGGCCGTTGAACCATCCAAACCATCATCCCTTTTGTATGTTTGATTTTTCTAAAACCTAGAAATTGACCGAAACCCATTGACTTGGTTAGACTGGTTCAACCCAGTCATAGGGTCACAAGTTACAACTTGATGTATTGAAAACTTTTAGAGGTCATGACTTTGTACTTGCTTTCTGATCGTTGGGGTGATGCTTTATTTTTTGCATAATCTTTTAAAATCTACTTGCTTCAAGAGTACTTGCCTAACTATTTTTTGCGAGAAAACTCTTTTTATGGCCTCAAATCCCAATTAAAAATTGAAATAAAAAAATATTGTTGCTGCCAAAGATGGGCCGAGGGCAACAATGTAATTCTGCTTCTATAGACAAGGGTTGGCTGAGTCTGAGGACTGATTGGCTTCAAGGTCCGACCTGTGAGCAAAGGGAGACATCAGAGGCCCCGGGTGTTATCCGAGGGGCGGAGACTCCAACGGTCAAGTTAGCAATGGCATAGCAAGGGGTCAAACGAGGCCTGAGTAGGGATAGCTCAGATGAGGTCACCAGAGAGCTAGAAAGCTTAGAGTAGTAGAAGCCAAGATAGCTTACCTAGAGAGTGGCACTACTTATTTATACTTGAACTTGCCTAGAGTTTCTTACGAGCAGACGGCTAGGATGCGATCTGGCCTATGCCACGTGTTGCCATCCTGGGCCTGCCATGTGCACCTACATCATATATAAAGTACGTTTAATATAAATCACAAATATCCATATGTCACAAAATATAATTATATATTATTTAAATGATATAATACACACACATATATCCAAATGATTTAATCATGGTTTTGGAAACCGGATTAAACCAGACCAAACTAGTTCTGTTTTATGTTAAAATCGCTTTTTGGCCAAAAACCATTGATTTGGTCAGCAACCCGTTGACTTGGAAGATCAAATTGTCAAACCGTCAACTCGAACAAAAGTTTTTGGCCATTTTTTATTTTTTTTTTAATTTTTTAAGTCAAAACGGGGCCATTTGTTCAAACTGGACAGTCAGACCGTTCAACCCAATAACCAGTCCCCGTAAAGGTTCCATGTCCGGTCCCGTTTTAAAAACCTTGGATTTAACCAAGGATCGAATTTCAGACATTATTGAGTAGAGAAGACCTTGGATCCAATTTTAGACAAAAACGGTTCAACCTTGGACTACGGTTTTGATTCTGCGCATCCTTTTTGGAGAGAGTGCCAACCAATTGACCATCTCCACAACACAAATGGTCATCAGCAATAATTTTTGAATTGACCCGTAGTACGCATGGTGGAGACGGCATCACGGCAGTGGTGTAACGGGATCTGCTCGCGCCTCACATGACATACACATCCACCGTTTCATTGAGAATATCTCAAATGAAAAATAACTTATAAGTATGAAAGATGCTTCCAATGCATGGTATGATGTGTATGGAAGGCGCGTGTAAAGCGCCCTATGTGAGGAATAAATCCAGTCTCGGCAGTGGTTGTGATTACCGGTTAGATCCATGGATCACTGCTCAATTACAATTAGAATTAGGTTTCTGTATCTGAATAATCTAGAAACTTGGACGAAACTTCTCTCCTTTGTTTCCTTTTTCTCTCAAACTCCGTAATTCTGTTTCTGTACACATTCAAAAGAAACACCCAAGTACCCAACAAAAACGACAAAATATGTGAATTGACTATTTTGTGACCCAAACCCGCTAAACATATCTCGAACTGACCCGCTTCATTTTATACTTTACCTAATTACCTAATACAGTAATATCATACGAATCCGGATCTCCTACCCACACAAATTCTGTCCACCTTTATCCCTACAATATCGCAATTACACATTAAAAACATCTCATTCACTTACATAATATTATACTCTCTTACATAATATTATGCAAAGGAGATGTTTCCAATTCACGGGATCCGGAGTCCGTATGTGGGCAGGAGATCCGGAGTCCATACCCTGATAGTGTGTTATAATAGACGTGAACAGGAGATCCGGAGTCCATACCCTGTATGTGGAAACGGAAGAGCCAATCGCTAGTTGTTTTGATTTTTAGAGTTTTTCCTCATTTCCAAACCTCGAGGAAGCTGAGTCAGAGGTAAACGTTTTTCAACGACTACGAGACAGCCATTGACATTTTCACAGATTTTTTTTGTGATTAAATTAATTAACAGCCATTGACATCTATGCCCTTTACCGATCGGTATCTGATTAAATTAAATTAATTAACAGCCATCGTCCGATCGGTATCCGATGGTGATCTAATCCACTTAATTTTGGTTACGCTGCCACGTCAATGCCCTTTACCAAGAAGGAAGGAATGAGTAGAAGAAATTTGTTTTTGTTTTTAATTTTTTTAGTGTCAAAGTCAAGCAGGTCAAACTCCAATGTGGAAACCGGTAACCGGTCATACTTACGCGACGCGGCCGCGTAATTTAGCATCTACTCATCTAGAGACCCAATTCAGCCTTCCTTCCCCTTTCCTCTCTCCCTCTCTCTCTCTCTCTCTCTGAAGACCCCCGTCTTCTGCGGTTCTGCCTATAAATACTCTTCATCTCTCTCTTCCTTCCCAACCATCACTCCTATCGTTTCATCGTCTCTCCTCACAGCATATGTCTCAGAGGCCCACTGTTCCTCATTCTTCTTCCATAGCCTTCGGCCTCCATTCTCATCTCCTGGTTTCCAGTGAGATGAACCCTAATTCCAACTGGTCTTACGTGTCTTCTCTTTAATTTTGCTTCCTTCTGTGTTCTTCCCTAATCCTTTTTCGTAGAAAATAAAAAACAAATTGAAATTTTAGCCTTAGAAAACCCCATTCTTTTCTTCATCGTCCAGTTGGTCTCTCCAATCGAAACCACAATTTTCGGCTAGAGCAATACACAAATCAAGATGGGCCTCAAGGGTTTCGTTGAAGGAGGCATTGCCTCGATCGTTGCAGGCTGTTCCACTCATCCTCTCGACCTCATCAAGGTCCGGATGCAGCTCCAGGGTGAAACCCACGTTCCCAACCCAGCCATCCAGACTCTCCGCCCCGCATTCGCTTTCAACACGCCTTCCGCGGCCGCTGCGGCTCAAGCTGCACTCCACGCGCCGCCACCACCACCTCCAGCACCGCGCGTCGGCCCCATCTCCGTCGGGATCCGGATTGTTCAAACAGAAGGCGTCGCTGCCCTCTACTCTGGCGTTTCGGCCACCGTCCTGCGGCAAACACTCTACTCCACTACGCGTATGGGTCTCTACGATGTCATGAAGCAAAGATGGTCCGACCCTAATTCGGGCAATATGCCACTCGTGCGCAAGATAGCGGCTGGCTTAATAGCCGGCGGAATTGGTGCGGCCGTCGGCAACCCAGCCGACGTTGCCATGGTTCGAATGCAGGCCGATGGCCGCCTTCCCCCCGCCCAACGACGCAACTACAAGAGCGTAGTTGATGCCATCACGAGAATGTTGAAACAGGAGGGAATCACAAGTTTGTGGCGCGGATCGTCTCTCACGGTGAACCGTGCAATGATCGTGACTGCATCGCAGCTGGCATCATACGATCAGATCAAGGAGTCGATCCTGGGACACGGTCTGATGAGGGACGGGCTTGGGACCCACGTGACGGCGAGTTTTGCGGCGGGATTTGTGGCCTCGGTGGCGTCGAACCCGGTGGATGTGATCAAGACGAGGGTGATGAACATGAAGGTAGAGGCAGGGGTGGCGCCGCCTTACTCCGGCGCGTTAGATTGCGCACTGAAGACAGTGAGGGCCGAGGGGCCGATGGCGCTGTACAAGGGGTTCATCCCTACGATATCGAGGCAGGGGCCGTTCACGGTGGTGCTGTTCGTGACCCTGGAACAGGTCCGAAAGATTCTCAAGGATTTCTAATTTGGAGAGACGACGGTGATGAATGATGATGACGAAGAAACAATCAAAATAAAGATTAAAAATTAGATATTATTATTATTATTATTTTATTTATGTTATGATTATAACTATTACTAGATTCCTGATTCCTGAAGAATGGGAAACAAGGAGGCTCTATTGACCATTTTTTGGTTTTTCTTTTCTTTTTTTTTTTTTTTTTTGAGATGAAATGAAGTAGAAATGCATAGAACCTGGCAGGATGAAAACTTGTTGTCCTTTTCTTTCTTGATATCTTTAATTTAGTACAGCTTGTGGTTGCCACATGGAGAAGGCGCTTAGTAGGGTTGGTTCTTGGTCTGGGACAAAGCATTTTGTTGGAGTCATTGCGTGTGTCCATATCTTCCTTCTGATTGGGCTGTGTAGGGCCTAAAATTCCGCACGAAAAGGAATAACCAAATAACCAGGAAGGATTGGATGAGATGAAGAGGTGCCAACTGGGTCAGCTGGTAAGGTATCGGGGTGGTTTGCGTAAGCAACATGTGATCGATTCCCGCTTACATCCTGCTTTGGGGTTGGGGCGTTGGGTGTTGAGGGTAGTTCCGTCACCCATGAACCAAACAAAAGAATGATAAATTAGACACTTAGCTCCCCTTTTAATGGGAATATGGGATTAATGGTGATGATGAAGTCATTAAGGTGATGTTTGGCATCCATGATGATTCTGAGTGATTTTTGAAATTAATGTTTTTTATTTTTTTTTAAATCCATAAATCTTGTTATTTGATATCATTTTTGTCATATAAGCTGATTTTTGAGAAATCGGTTTTGAGTCTGTTTGGTACTGATTCTTAAGGGCCAATTATTTTTGTATTAAAGTTATTCAATATCATGCCATTCTCAAAAAAAAAAAAAAGAATTAGCTAGAAATCAGGAAATCATCAAAATCAACCAACCAAATAAAAATTTCAATGTCTATTCCTCTAAAACAGACGTAACATTGAGATGGCAGTGATTTTCAAAAAAATCATCATTGATGCCAAACATTGCCTAATTTGCCCATTTTAGATTGAATGAGCTGAGACTGAGAGGAATGAGATCTAAAAAGGTATCAACATGACGAAAAGGGCATTCCAAAGAACAAATGAGGTATTTTAGATATTTTTTTTTCATCTTTCTCTTAAACAAGTAAATGTGTACGTGCAATAATTTTAGATAGCAATAATAGTTTCAATATTTTATCAAAATCCGTTAAAATAGATAAGTAATTAAAGAATGGCATGCCAGTGGATTTAAATTTTATATTTTATTTTTATTATTAATAATAATACTTCTTATTTATCATATTTAGTTTTGTTTAATATGATAAACATATAATATTAAAGATGTGTACCAAACCTTTTCACAAAATTTTGTATTTTTATATTTTTCATTTCTATCTATTTTTTATATAATTATGACATCATATGTTAGTCTATTTGACTTGAAAGAGAAAACAATCTCATTTTTAGAAAATTTTAGATTTTCTATTCCATCTCCATAATTAATTGTAAAAAGAATTCTTGTTTATCACACTTATATTTGTTTAAAATAACAAATTTATAATATTTGAGATATGCCAAATGTTTTATAAATTTTCAATATTTTTGGTTTTGTAATTTTATCTATTAATTAGGACATCATTGATTGACCCATGTTACCTAAATGATTAGATTATTAGGGTGCAAATTGTGGAGATTGAGCTGAATTTGTGCTCAACCTAGGCGACTAGGCCCAATAGGCTCAAATCCAAGGATCAAGCTTGATTTGTCCAACTTGGCCTAGCCCGTATTGAAATTTGATGTACTCAGGTTGGGCTCAGGCTTGGATTGGTTAATTATTTATCCCCATGCATGTATACATGTAAGCAAATATGTGTCTATGTATGTATATAGGTCAGGCTCAAGCTACCTTGGGCTTAGGCTTAGGCCTGACCCAAGGACCAAAATCCAAGTTAGTTTGTCTAAAATTGCAAATTGTGTTGGTCTAGGCTTAGATTGAGCTTGCCCAATTTGTACTCGTATGGGTGATTGACCACAAATTATATGAAAAATAGTGTTTCTTTTTTTAGTTAGTTTCAAATTTTATTTTATTTCTATCATTAATAAAAATAACTCTTACTTATCACATTTGATTTTGTTTAATATGATAAAACGCATACCAAGGTTTTTAAAACCGGACCAGACAGGGAACCGTTCTAGGGTTCGGTTCTCAAGGTCGAATGGTCCTACCGGATGGCCCGCTCTGACAAAAAATAAAAAATAAAAAACCCAAAAAGCGACCAAAAACCATTCCTAGGTCGAACGGTTCGACCATCCGGGTTAGTGGTTCACTGACCAAATCAACAATTTTTGGCCAAACAGTGGTTTTGGGGTAAAATGGAGCTGGTCAGGTGATCGGTTCCTAGTTTTTCCAGTCTGACCCTCCGGCCCGGTCCGGTTTTGAAAACATTGATACAATATGGGTTGATTGATTTCACTTAAAAGGTTGAACCATTGACCCATTGCTTGAATAGGAAAATGGTTTTGTGTTAGGTGATTTTAAATTTTATATTTCATATTCCATCTTTAATAAAAATGCTTCTTATTTATCATAGTTATTTTTGTTTAATATGATAAATATATAATTTTAGAGATGTGCCTTTTTTGTAATTTTTATATTTTTATTTACTAGTAACTATGCACGTGCTTTGCATGTGGCAATTCTAGATGATGATAATGATAATAATAATGTATCCAAAATTTTCTATAAACTTTATGTATTTTTTTATTTTTGGTTTATATTTTTTGTTTTATATTATTAATTAGATGCAAATCGCAAAATCCAAATCTAATTATATAAACACCTCATCCAAATAGATAATCAGATTGAGTTGTGAAGTTTCAAATATCATTGACAAGCTTACCTACTTGGATAGATTCTTCTTTTTGTAATGTTTTATTTTTTGGTGTCTCTTTTTTTTGTTCATTTATCAAAAAAATGTAAGATTTAAATAGAGTGAATTAAATGAGGTGAAAAGTAATAATTCAATTTCCAATTTATACCTCACAATTAAATAGAGACTAAAAATGAGTATTTTATTCAAAAGAAAGTTCCACAATCTTATTCATATTTTTAATGATAGTGTAAATATAGAATTATAGTTATCTTCAATTTTTCTATAATTTTTTTTTATTTCTGAGCGTAAAAATAATTCTGATATGTCACACTTATTTTTTGTTTAATATGATAAATATAAGATATTATACATGTGCCTAATGTTTTTTTTTGGCAAAATTTATGTATTTTTATATTTTTTTATATTTTATTAATTTTTATTATTTATTTATAACACTAAAGGTTAACACATTTGACCCAAAAGTAGAACTGTTAATTTTTGCCAAACAATAAAATAATTTCATTTTTGGTTAGTTCTAAATTATGTATTTCATTTTTATTGTCAATAAAAATAATTCTTGTTTATTATACTTATTTTTTAATTTAATTAATAAAGTCATAATAAATATGTCTTTTTTTCTATATTTTTATAATTTTCTATATTTATTTCTATTTAACAAATTTTATTACCTAAGTATGACTTTAGGCTCCATTTAGTTTGTGGGATAGGGATGATAAAAAAAGGAATATTCTAAAAACATTCCTTTTTTCTTTGTTTGTTTTGAAGGAAATAGGAGAATGGGATGGAAAAAACGTGGGATGCGGAATCCCAAAAATAAGAATGCGGGGTCGCACTAAATCAATGCAACCTCAATGAGAAAAGGAAAGTCGAGGACCTTTGTGGGAAAAATTATCGAGGCTTGTCAAACACAAAGCTCCTTCGTTTCTCCATCTACTTACTTCAGACATGTTCCAACATTCATATCTCCGGTCACTTTTCCGGCGTTTTTGAGTGGTGGTAAGACCACACTCATTTTCTACATGGCCGATCAGACGATGGGGCCATCAAGATTGATGGCTCGTTGCTTGAATTGCGTTGAACAATCTCAGTACCAAGAGCGACGTCTTCCATTTTGGGATCCTACTGTTGGAAATTATCAGAGGCAGGAACGTCATTGACGTGAACTACAACCCGCCTTCTATTGTTGATTGAGCCCTGCCACTTATCAAGCAATTTGAGTTCACTCCTCTGTTCGATCCCTGGATCGGGCTGCCAGAGGACCCGTCGGTAATGCATCAGTTGAAGGTGCTGGCGGATCAGTGTGTTGGGAAGATTGCCAAGAAGAGGCTGTTGATGGTAAAGGTGGTTGACCTCGAAGAAAGTTTCCTTTGCAATTTGGAACCTGTTGGTACTCGTTATTCAATCTCAACTAGTTCGGCTACTGCAACGAAAATTGGCTCTACCACAAGCTGCAATGCCCGTGTTGCTGTTTTGTCTTTTTTTCCCAAGACCCTCTCGAAGAGACACCTCCCATCTCCATTTGAGGAGCAATCAATATTCAATAATGGCCAAGCTCAGCCAAAGTGATGATACCTTCCTCTTGACTCTTCTTGCTTTGCCATCCCTCTGGTTGAACTTTTGCTCCTCCTCTTCTTCCAGGACCAGGAGGGTTAGGGCTTCTACCACCATAAGCCAATTGCAAAGAGCGGGTATTGTTTAGATCTCAAGTCTAGCAATGAGAATGCATGTTGTTAGATTGTTGAACAAATCCAAGTCTCTGGGTGTGTTGAAAACCACATCGTTGATGCAAAGTAGTGAAAGAGGATTCATGTTTCAGCTGGTGAAAAATCCTCAATTCAAAGGATTGAGCATGCCTTGATGGGTGGTAAGTGTGGAGAAAGGTTTCCAAAAGAAAATACTGGATTGTGGATAGGGAACGATCAACAGCTGCATCTGTAGAATTTAAATGAAAGCAAGAAAATTGATCAGGTAATTAAATTCCCTCAGGGAGAAGTGCTTAGGGATTCTGGTGACAATGTAATTCTCAGTTATTCAGGGCCATCTGGGTTTGGAAATTCTCTAGGGCAGAACTGTTGACTTTAATTCAAGGCTTTGAACTGATAGGCCAGTAGGGATTTATCGAATATGGTGGTTGAGGGGGATTGTCAAGCAGTCATTTTTTGGATGAATTCTCAAGAACAAATACCTTGGCAGTTTAGACAGTTAATGAGATTGGATCACTCCTAACGTGTCAGCTTGAACATCTCATTCATCTGGGCACTCAGTAGTGCAAATATGCTAGTTGATTCCCTCGCAAGATTGTAATTTGTAAAAGGTTATTATATTCTATTGTTTTTGTGCTTTCTTTGGCCTGTGCTGAGAATCTATTGTAATTTCTCCTACCTGCTT